CAGCCACAGCAGCGCCCACGCCGCCCGAGCCATGCCCGCGCCGCCCCGGCCGGCTCTCTCCGCCGCTGAGCGGGCGGCCGGGCGGGCGTCCGCTGGGTCTTAGCGCCGGCCCCGAGGCGAGGCAGGAGGGGGAGAGGCCTGGGTCGCGCCCCCCACCTTGTTCAGAGACTCCACTAGTGTCCTGAGCGCCCTACTTTGGCCCGGCCTCTTGTCCTCGGGGGTCTTTGCCTTGACAGATGGAGGTGGGTGGGGTACGCTTTACGCCAGGAGTGGGGGTCCCGGAAAGTCCCTCCCCACCCAAAGAGAGTGCCCCCACCTTGAGATCAAGAAACGGAGGGAGGCGTCCGCTCTGTGTGCGCTGCGCAGGCTGAGGGGAAGCCCTGGAACCTGGCTTCCATCACGGCGCCCCTGCCGCACAGCCCGCGTCTTCCCAGCCCACGGCGGGAGGCACAAACCTGCTTTCACCCGCACACCGTACGCTGTCACCACTGCCACTCGATCTCCATCCCCCCGTCACAAGTCCTTGCCGTCCAGCTTTTGCGGAGCAAAGCTGCTCTTCCCTGGAGAAGCCTTCTCTTGGAGGACATTTGGGGAGGGGGAAGCGCCGAGATCCCCTCAGACTCCGGGGCCCCACCACCCACCTGAAGGGCCTAGATTTGGGGGTGCCAGCAAAAGAACCAGGGGATGTCTAGGACCGGCTTTAGGACCCGGGGGCTCCGGCAAAAGACACTGACTTTTTAGTTTTGGGGGGTTTTTTTGTTCGTCCACTCAGATTTCCCATCGTTCCCGAACATCCCTCCCTGTCCAGGCCCCAAGTCTCAGCCCCGGTGGAGATGGGGGAGGGGGCCCGAGCTCTTTGTGGTGGCCCGGAACTCAGCCTCGCCCCCTCCTCCTGGTCCACCACCACCACCCCGCCCGGCCAGCGCAGCCTCCCAGCCCCCATTCCACGTGGACCAGCCAGGCCAGGGGCGGGGAAGGAGGACAGGAAGAGGGGGAGCCAGCTCTGGAGGAGGGGGAAAGGAGGCTGTGGGCGGCCGCCTCGCTCGCCCTCACTGCCGGCAGCCTCCGCTCCAGGCACCATGTTCCCCGCGGGGTCACCCAGCCACGGCCTCCTCGGGCTCCCCCTGCTGCAGTTGCTTTTGCTGCTGGTGCAGGCCGTGGGGAGGGGGCTGGGCCGTGCCAGCCCGGCCGGGGGCCCCCTGGAAGACGTGGTCATCGAGAGGTACCACATCCCCAAGGCCTGTCCCCGGGAGGTGCAGAGAGGGGACTTTGTGCGCTACCACTACAACGGCACTTTTGAGGATGGCAAGAAGTTCGACTCGAGGTAACGGACCGGGCCCCCCAGGCTGGCCACTCCCGTTCCCTGAGCCCCAGCTCCCAGGTCCTGTGGTTCCTGCGTTGGCCCTTTTAAGCTCTTCATGCCGTTGCTCACGCCCTGATCCCCTAATCCCAACGGCACCCTGGAGGGCTCCCAGACATCCGTTTCCCCAAAGATACCCCCTGCCCCCAATTCCAAACCTTCATCTCTCAAGGGACTCCAGTTTCTTTCACACAAGCTCCCCACATCCCCCAGAGTGCTTGATAATCAAAGTGAAGGGTATTGCACTCACCACTGCTTTATTTTAAAATGTGCTGGAGGGGGATGTTCTGGTCTACAGCATTGGGGGAAGGGACGGTCCCTGATGCATGGGCGCCCTGGGGTGTTCTATCAGCCTGAGACTCCCTCACCTTTCCGCCCACGCTGACTCCCGTTCTGGTTCCACCCGCAGTTTCGATACCTTTGTGGTTAGTGAAGAGGGAATAGAACTGTCATTGGGCTGCTGGGAGTTTTCAGCAGGGTGGGCATAGCAAGACAGCAGGATGGATGGCGGGACGAGGTCATAGCTCTGTCTACGTGTCACACGGTCGGACGTGCCACCCTGGCCTCTTCGGAGGGTTTTCATGCCTCTCTCTCAGGGTCTCCTCACACCCCTATCTCCCTCCCTCTAAGCTCTGCCAGCCCAGGGCCACACACCACCCATCTTGCTGGCCCTGGGCTTCTGGTCTATCCAGGCCTTCGGTCTGCTCAGCAACTCCACTTTGGTCGGTGGGGGCAGGGCAGGGCTGTGCACTGGCCTCTGGTAAACTTTGGGTCCCAGTCCCACACGAACCCCCACACCACACCCAAAGATGTGAGTCCCTCCTAGACCCTTGCCCCGAACACAGCTCAGTCCCTGGGAAATTAGCGGACTTCAAAGGCAGCCAGTGTGTGGGGTAAGATTGGGAACCCTAGAGTCCAGAACCCTGTGTGCAAGTCCAGGCTGTAGCTATGGGCAAGGACTTTGTCTCTTTAAGCTTCACTTTCCTTGTCTGAAAAATGGAGATAAAAATGGTGCCTACTTCCTAAGGCTGAATGAAAGTGGGCTTCTCACAGTGCCTGGCAGTCCTTGAGCAGGTTCCGTATGCATTAGCCTTGACTCTGGGGAGAACCATATACCCTGATGGTGTTTAACTTGTAGAAATTTCATGCAGAGCTTGGGCCCTCACAACAGCACTGTGAAGAAGACAGGCCGGACCTAAAACCTGCTCGGGATAGGCAGTAGCCAGGAACACAGCCCTGAGCCCTGGGCCACTCGGAGTGGGAGCTGGGGGTGTCTTCCCTGGTGGAGACGCTGGCAGCCTGTCTAGGACCCAGTTTACTTTCTTAACCAATGGCCCCTTCAATCAAAATAAAAATCTCCCATTCTCCCGTACTTCTGAAAACTTAAAATAAATTAAAATATATAGCAAAAACCAAAAGCCATGGCAATTTTGTGGGGGGAGGGCAGCTGGTCAGTCTGGAAATCTGAACCCTTGACTTGGTGTTACAGCACCGCGCTCTAACCAGCTGAACTAAGCGGCCAGCCCCATGGCAATTTTAGAATAAGAAAAGTGAAAACAATAATGCCCACCTCACAGGAGAGAGAATTAAATAAGATAATAAATGCAAAGTAAACGTTCAGTAACGTTCCTCTGCCCCTCCCTGCTGTACTTCCCACTCCTTCGGTATCAGCAAATAGAAGCAGCACACAGGCCTGTACACCCCACCCCGCCCCATCCCAGGGGAATAAAAGCCCCTGGCCGCCTCAGGAATTTCCCTTTTGCAACAGCCCATCCTCTTAAGGTGGGAGTCATGGCCGACCGAGGAGGAAGGCTTGAAAAGGAGGTACGGAGCAGGTGTGTATATCCACACCTCTGTATAGGAAGAGGGACCGTGCATGTGTGTGTGCATGCACACGTGTGCATATATGCGACCACGAGCTGAGAGAACCAGGTGGCCGTGTGCGCCCTCACCTGTGCACACCTGAGGCCACTGAATCCCATCTGCCCCCTCCCCCCTAGCTATGACCGCAGCACCTTGGTGGCCATCGTGGTGGGGGGGGGCCGCCNTTACAGCACCGCGCTCTAACCAGCTGAACTAAGCGGCCAGCCCCATGGCAATTTTAGAATAGGCCTTTACAAAATTTGACACCAATCCCCATCCCCACCTCTGGCCATCTCCACTTTCCCCTCCTTTCCTTGGAGAGTGGATAGTGCGGTGGCAAAAACATAGGCTTTGGAGTTGGACAGACTGCATATTAGTTATACGACTTTGGGCAAGTCCCTTAGTCTCTCAAGTGTCAATTTTTCTCATAAGAAAAATGAAAACAATAATGCCCACCTCACAGGAGAGAGAATTAAATAAGATAATAAATGCAAAGTGCCAGATATTTAATCTGGCATGTAGTAAACGTTCAGTAACGTTCCTCTGCCCCTCCCTGCTGTACTTCCCACTCCTTCGGTATCAGCAAATAGAAGCAGCACACGGGCCTGTACACCCCACCCCGCCCCATCCCAGGGGAATAAAAGCCCCTGGCCGCCTCAGGAATTTCCCTTTTGCAACAGCCCATCCTCTTAAGGTGGGAGTCATGGCCAACCGAGGAGGAAGGCTTGAAAAGGAGGTACGGAGCAGGTGTGTATATCCACACCTCTGTATAGGAAGGGGGACTGTGTATGTGTGTGTGTGCGTGCACACGTGTGCATATATGCGACCATGGGCTGAGAGAACCAGGTGGCCGTGTGCGCCCTCACCTGTGCACACCTGAGGCCACTGAATCCCATCTTCCCCCTCCCCCCTAGCTATGACCGCAGCACCTTGGTGGCCATCGTGGTGGGGGTGGGCCGCCTCATCACTGGCATGGACCGAGGCCTCATGGGCATGTGTGTCAACGAGCGGCGCCGCCTCATCGTGCCTCCCCACCTGGGCTACGGCAGCATCGGCGTGGGTGAGAAGGGCCGGGCCACAGGCATGGGGATGGAGGAGGCCAGCAGGCAGAATAAGGGACCCCAGGGCCACAAACTGAAGCACAGGGCTGGCCAGTTAGCTCACTTGGGAGACTGTGGTGCTGGTAACACCAAGATCACCAGCCAGCCCCCAAAAAAGAAAAAGAAAGAAAGAAAAGAAAACCAAAGCACAAAGATGGGGAAGATGGGGCGTGACTTGCCCAGGGTCACACAGCACACACAGTATACATACATAGTGGTAGCTCCGTGGCTTGAGCTTTGGTCTCCTGCCACTGGGATGAGAGGAAGGGAAATAACGGGCCCTGGGCATAGCTTGGTTAGGAGGGAGGGGAACTGGAGGTAGTGGAGGGGGAGGCAGAGCGGGACTCTCAGACCTCCGCTCCACCCCCTACCCTGGGGGATTGCACCAAATATGACCTCCTGCTTCTCTGCCCTCACAGCGGGGCTCATTCCCCCGGATGCCACCCTCTACTTTGATGTGGTCCTGCTGGATGTGTGGAACAAGGCAGACACTGTGCAGGTGAGCACCTTGCTGCGCCCGCCCCACTGCCCCCGCATGGTCCAGGACAGCGACTTTGTCCGTTACCATTACAATGGCACTCTGCTGGACGGCACCACCTTCGACACCAGGTAAGGGGTGCGTGGGAGCCCCGAGGCACCGGGGACTGTGGCATGGGGGGGGGTCTGAGTCCGGGGCCCATCCTGCCTATTCCACCTCCTGCAGCCCCACCTCTATTTCATTCTCTGCAGCTACAGCAAGGGTGGCACTTATGACACCTATATCGGCTCTGGTTGGCTGATCAAGGGCATGGACCAGGGGCTGCTGGGCATGTGTCCTGGAGAAAGAAGGAAGATTATCATCCCTCCATTCCTGGCCTATGGCGAGAAAGGCTATGGTGAGGGCGGGCAGGGGCTCGGGGGTATTCTCCAGAAGGGGGAAAACCAGGGCTCCACCTATACTTGTTCAGGTTGTGCACTGCACAAGGGCACCTGGCCAAGGAGGCGAGCAGAGATGCTTGGAGCTCCTCTCACTAAGAAGGGGTGCTTTATTCTGACTCACACAAAGGTTCGGTATGGGTCGGTGGTGGCCTTGGGGAAAACCCAGCTCAGGCCTCACAGGAGGAGCAAGAAATAGGGCTGCTGAGAGGAGAGAAGGGGCTCTGCAGAGTAGCGTTGGCGTCATTTTGCGTGGTGCTCACATAGGCTTTCCCGAGTCACGAAGGAGCCCCAGTTTGCTCCCCACTTGTATGGTTCAAGCCCTATCCCTTCCCCAGGGACTGTGATCCCCCCGCAGGCCTCCCTGGTCTTTCACGTCCTCCTCATCGACGTCCATAACCCCAAGGACACCGTCCAGCTGGAGACGCTGGAGCTGCCCCCAGGCTGTGTCCGGAGAGCAGTGGCCGGGGACTTCATGCGTTACCACTACAATGGCTCGTTGATGGATGGCACTGTCTTTGATTCCAGGTCAGGAGGGTCCTGAGGAGGTGGGGAGGGGAGGCTGGGGGAAGACAGAAGCTGAGACAGGAAGGAAAATACCAGGTGCTGAGTCTGGGACCACCTCAGGCTGCAGCCGGGGGGGCTCACTCTGAGCTACCTGGAAGGGGAGGGGCCCCTTTGACTCCCTTCCTGGCCTTCCCCACCTTGTATTGCAGCTACTCCCGCAACCACACCTACAATACCTATATCGGGCAGGGTTACATCATCCCCGGGATGGACCAGGGGCTGCAGGGCGCGTGCATAGGGGAGCGCCGGAGAATCACCATCCCCCCCCACCTCGCCTACGGGGAGAACGGAACTGGTAGGGTGTTCCCGGACCCCCACCTCTGCTGCTCTCCTGAACGGCCCACTGTGGCCAGGGCCCCACCCCCACGGCGCGATTCCAGCCACAGCTCTGCTCCTCTCACAAAGACGCATGCAGTTTACATCCGGTCACCCATCCCATTCCTGCCTGGTGGAGTCCATCCGTTTTCTCCAGGGCGGTCCCCCACTTCTCCCCTTCCATAGTGGAGAAGGACAGCCAGCTGTTGCTTTTGGGAGGGAGGGTGGTTGTGGAAGAACAGAACCAGCATAGTCCTAGGAAGCAGAGAGATCAAGGTTTGAGACCCAGCTGTGCTGGGAGCCTCACTGTCCTCACCTGTAAAATGGGACTAACCACATTGATCAGCAGAGTAAATTACTGGGAGTTTATAAGATGATGCATGGAAAAGGGCCTTCTAATTGCAATGCCTTCACCTACCCCCTCACCCCAACAAGAGAACCAACTGTGGACAAACATCCAGTCCCATCCATGTCTGAATCCTCATGGGGGAGGAGGGGTATTGAGTCTAGGGGCCTCCATGGGGACCTCAAGCGGCCCCCCCTAAAGCTCCAAGCGACCCACTGCCCCTTTCTGGTCTCAGGAGACAAGATCCCTGGCTCCGCCGTGCTGATCTTCAACGTCCACATCATTGACTTCCACAACCCCGCAGATCCAGTGGAAATCAAGACGGTGTCCCGGCCTCCTGAGGCCTGCAATGAAACTGCCAAGCTGGGGGACTTTGTTCGATACCACTACAACTGCTCCCTGCTGGACGGCACCAAGCTCTTCTCCTCGTGGGTCCGGGGCAGGGCCAGGGCTGGGCAGGTGGGTGGGCACAGGCGTGGGGAGTCTCCCCAGCAACACCCCAACTCCAGTACTCTCTTGGTCACCCAGTCTCTGGTGGAGCACCCAGACTCTGGCTTCCTCCATAAGACCCCGTCTCAGTGAGTGTCAGGGAGCCACAGGGAGACGAGATTCTTTACTCCGTAGGGGAAGGGAAGGTGATATTAGCAACAGGAGGAGAACTATTTCTGTTTTATGGAGGGGAAACTGAGGCAGGAGAGATGAGCCCTCAAGGCTACACCGTGCGGGCCGTGGCAAGATGAGAGGGGAATCCCATGTCTGCCCTGTGGGGCCTCTGAACTCTGCTGTGTGGATGGGACCAGGAGGGGCAACTCCAGAACTGAGGGCTCGTCCTGGGCCCATGTCGGGGAGAGTGGGGTGTAAACTGGCAGGGGACAAGGACTGGCACTGACCTGGAAATCTGCTCTCCCCCAGCCATGACTACGGGGATCCCCAGGAGGCAACTCTGGGGGCCAACAAGGTGATCGAAGGCCTGGACACAGGCCTGCAGGGCATGTGCACAGGAGAGAGGCGGCAGCTCACCGTGCCCCCGCACCTGGCGCACGGGGAGAGTGGAGGTGAGAGGCGGAGACCATGGCCTGACTGGTGTCCCGTCCCTTTGCCTCTGCCCATCTGAGGCCTGGGGCTGGTGGAGGAGTCAGGGAAGCCTCCAGGATGGTTCTGTGAACATCCCATGTACCACTTCCCAGCCACCACGAGGGGAAACTGAGGCCTGTGGACAGGTCTGATTGGGACCCTTCTCTACTCTTTCCCTCCCTCCAGCCCGGGGAGTCCCTGGCAGTGCTGTGCTGCTGTTTGAGGTGGAACTGGTGTCCCGGGAGGACGGGCTGCCCACGGGCTACCTGTTTGTGTGGCACAAGGAGCCCCCTGCCAACCTGTTTGAACACATGGACCTCAACAAGGATGGAGAGGTCCCTCTGGAGGAGGTGGGTGAAGGTGCAGTCCTTAGAATGACCACGCCCATGCATGCCCCCAACCAGGAAGCCCACTTGTATGGTGCATCTAGCAAGAAGGCAGGGCCTGTCCACCTTCCTGCCTGCCACCTCTGCTGCCATGCTTCTGCCACCATGCTGAGGCACGTGTGCAGCCTGTCCCCCATCTGGGCCCAGTCACTGACTATCCCCATGCCATGCCCTTCACACTGGCCCCAGCCGGGACCCAGCACCAGCTCCTGTCCTCTTCCAGTCATTACTGCCTTGCGGGGGGCACAGCAGCCTGGGAAACGATACTCACTGGCCTCTACCTGGGGGCCCTTCCCAAGGCCACTCAACAGCTGCTCAGCCATGACCCTCATTGCCCACCCCCCCCGGCTCTCTGCCCCCCAGTTCTCCACCTTCATCAAGGCTCAAGTGAGTGAGGGCAAAGGACGCCTCTTGCCTGGGCAGGATCCTGAGAAAACCTTAGGGGACATGTTCCAGAACCAGGACCGCAACAAAGATGGCAAGATCACGGTCGAGGAACTCAAGCTGAAGTCGGATGAGGACCAGGAGAGGGTCCATGAGGAGCTCTGAGGGGCGGGAAGCCTGGGCCTGGCCTCAGACAGAAAGGCCCACCATTAGGCGGACAGTGGCAATGGGACTGACCTGCCAACAGTCACCCCCTCTGCTGGCATAACGTCTGCGAGCCACCTAGAAAGTTGTCACAGGAGACAACTCTGGTTTTCCACTAGCCCTGGATTAAAATCCACAGCACAGACCTCTATTCCACTTTTCTCTTCCAGCCCCACATCCCTTCCTTAAAACGTTTGGAGTTACAAAGGCAATTTGGGGATAGCGGAGTCCAGGGTTGGATGGGTCTCTTCCTGGCTTGCTAGCCCCTCACCCACCTCCCCTCCACTTGCAAGACTGATCTGATCATCCCTTATTTCCCCAAACTTCCCCTTTATTTGTACTTCTCACCGCCCCCACCCCGCACCTCCAGCCCCCATCCCTCTGTTGTGGCAGCTCCCCAAGAGCAAGAATCAGGGCTGGGGAGACCCTCCAGCCTTCCTCCCTCAGCTCTGGCTGGCTCTTGGGGAAGGGGGTGGCTCCAGGAGGGCAGCCCTGCCTTGTGGGTCCCACTGGCCCATCTCACTGTCACTGCCTCCACGGTGGGGCTGAGCTGCCCCTGGGGTGCTGGAGGTCAGGGCTGGGCTTCGTGTAGTCTTTTATCCCTAAAGAAGTCTTTCTCTAGGC